CAGTAGTACCTACAAACACTACTAGCACTGCAGCATAAGCAGCTGTAGCTAATATGGCATCGCCTATCTTGTCCTGGAAACTTGTTGCTACCGCCGCGAAGATCGTGACGCAGACCGATGTGGTTACAAGTGAAGTGATAAGGCCGGGCTTCAGCACCATGAGTATCATTGGCCCAATGAGAGACAGATTCCCAACAAAAGCCCATATAAATATCTCCAGATGTTTTTGGCGCGCCTCCTCTCGGAACCTGTGAATCGGGTCCTGCGAGATATCGAATTGTTTGCTGCGATCGAGGGGCTTTGGCACCGAGTGTTGTGGGTACTCTGGCAATTGCCATAGTCCTGTTTGACTTTGTTGGGGGTTTGGGGGTTTTCTGAGAAGGGTTTGGGTTCATCTTTGTCAGGTTTACTGAGCTTCTTCTCCTTCCAGACGTCTCTGAGAAGGGCTTGCTGCGACGTTTTTTCCGTTGTGATTATGAAAGGATCGTCGACATTCTCTTTCAATCCGAATCTGTCCATATAATTCATGTCTTGCAGGGCAGCCGCTGTTTCGTATTGGTCAGCTTAAGTCGATATTCTAGGGCGCTAATGTGACCTCACTGTAATTTCGGAGCTCTTCATCTAGCATCTTACAGAGCGGTTCTGTGCCCTCGGGTGTTGATGTGATAATGTTGAAAGCGTATTTCGAGATGCGCTTCAACCGAAATTGTAGGCACATCTTTTGTAGAGCCACGATGTCTAAGACGAAATGCTTGTTCTCCCTGTAGAGGATGCGTTTCATGTATCGGCGTTGAACCCATGTTTCGAAGTCTTCAAAACCATCATCATTATTCTGATCGTCAATCTGATCCTTTTTCTGGTCATTGTTCTGGGGAGCTTTCGACAGGTCAGGCTTGGTGATCATGGATTTTAGACTCTGCCATAGGTGTGCTGAAAGGGTGAGGTTCTCTTTCAACAGATATCTGAGTTCGGTTTCATCCGTTCTCGCCTTCGGAGGGGTCGGCTTGGTAACTATTGACTTTAGACTCTGCCATAGGTGTGCCGAAAGGGTGAGTTTGGCTTCATCGCCCTGCGATCCCGTTGCCGCCTTTTCTAAGTCTTTACTCTGATTAGAGTCCATAGCAGTATTGCTACGTTCTTTTTCGACGATGGCGTTCGAGTAGGTCTAAGTGTAGACAATGGAATGTCGCGGAATACTGAATATGTATTTGTGGTATCCAGAGACGGTCTTTCATCCTTGAAAAATGCGTAGACAGAAGTCGACGACAGCCTATCGGATTGATATTTGAAACTTCTATAGGCACAAGACTGACGCTCCGGCAAAGCTTGAGTTGGCGTGCCATTAGCCGTTCCTTATCTTGCGTATGTGAGATCCCCGCCGCAATACTTCCATCTCCTACGTGGCGAAATATGGCCTTGAGATCGTAGGGGTCGGGCTGTAGGTATTGAGAAAGTAATGGTTTGGCATGCATACGCGAGTAGGGTTTCCGAGACACTTGTATCGTAATACCATAGGGTTAAGAGAAATCAATCATGCAGTTTCGACGAATGAGCAACATTATGCCTGGGAGATAACAATCTATCTCATTATCTCATGCATGTACGAGGGTGTCGTATAAAGCAGATCGCGAACTGCACGATCACTCTTTAAGCCTTATTGAGATCCGATCCAATCGAACATTGTGCCACTTATGCACCGATCAATACCAAGGCTGACATACAGCACCGAGCCGAGCTGATCTTTTCCGCAGCGAAAAGAGAGTCTGCATTATCTGAAGCAATTAATTAGACACTTTTGCGTTGATTCCACACAAAAGTACGGCAGAGCAAACATGAATTTGCCGAGGCTTCCAATAAGATAAGTTGATCCTTGGATGATTGGGTCAGAGTGAACGAAGAAAGAAGTTGTGAATCCCCATCTTGCATATGGCCCGGCACGATCCCGCAAGTAGACGGTTCCAGCCAGCCTCTGCTGGCAATATATTTCCCTCTGCTGCGGACATGAGTGATAGAAACGCCCTCAGCAATGTGATTGGAAGGTCGAGCCAGCTGTCGCTGAGACTAGTGGTCCTGATTGAGAAATAAGAAGTGAGAACCTCAAATTCAAATGCTAAGTTCCGTAACCAGGGGCATTTCCATGGCTAACATCGTGCGTGTCCATGCTGTCCAGGAGGGCGATGATCAGGCCCAACTCTACAAGCTTGACATATTTCGTAGTCCATGAAGCTTTGAGAGTGCATATCGGTCGTGGGGTTATATACGTCAGGTAAGAAGGGAATGTCGTCGGGAAAGGCAGCGTCAAACTTCACGAAGAGGGCACCGTCGTTGTTGCTCCACGCAATCTACATGTTGACTCTACCGATGACGCTTCCGGAAACAACTCTTACGTTAATAGATTTCCTAGTAAGTAAGCCTTGTGAAGTCTCCAAGGTACCGAAGTCTCTCCGCCTCAGTGACACTCACGTTGCGAGTCTCAGAGCTTGAGGGGTCTTGACCTTGATCGCGGGCTCATCGGAAGTTTTATGTTTTCAGACATTCAGATGTTGTTGATAGGACTTCATAGATCTTGCTCTTGTCGCTATAGGTTTCTCAAGCTCACGAAAGGAATTTCGCCATCCGGGCGGATCTGGCTAACCGGGCGGGTAGTAGATGTATATTGATAAGGATGATCGATAACAACGACAACAACGACGACGACGACGATCACAATAGGGACAGAGAGAGGGATAGGAATAGCGACAAAAATAGTAAAAGTGAATTGAGATAAGATCAACTATTAGACCTAATATAGGTAGTTATCCGCCCGGTTAGCTACAAGTATCCGTCCGGATAGCAAGACTCAATGAGAGAAGCAAAAAGGACATCCGAGTTTCTTCAGTTGGGCCCCTAAAGCACCCTGATCTTATACGCGAGCATGTATTTGATCCCAACTTCCAAGAAATAGCCCTTGAGTCAGCGGTGTCCACTGGCACGCGTGTCCCGAAGGAATTGCAACTACCGCTGGCGGCTGCGGCTTCAAATCGGCTCTGAATGGTACAAGATGGTGTCGGCGTTGGGGGCGATCTGGCGCTCTGAGAGTCTCGCGTGGGACGTTAAGGACTTCTTTGAGATGCTCAAGGACGAGTTTCGAGAGCTGAATCTCATACCGCTTAGCCCGCGGTCTATGATGGCTTGAGTACAACCACGAGTTTGAGCACAACGACGCCTTGGTGGAGATGTTGAGGGGCATCTATCGCGAGCACGGTTGGCCTGATATAGAGCAGTATCGGAAGGCAGAGTGCATGGAGGCTATTAGGAGAGCCATCGAGAGGCGGTTTGAGGATTTGCAACTCGAGAAGGCCTGCTAGATGCTACTGTATGTTCTACCGCATGATAAGAATGTCTTGAAAGCAGACACAATCATCGAAGTCCTGTCATGTATATGTACAGCTGGGGCTTACGAGGACCCTCCATCGAGGGGGGGGTCCAACGTCTGTCATGTATGGCTCTAAGTGCATCTCAATTGTGTTCATCGCAAAACAAAATTGGGCATCAAAGTGTTCTGCTGACACTAACTTGTATGGCCTTGGGTTGAACTATCTAGAGATAATAAGCATGTGATCAGACATCACACGACCTTCCTCGACATGCTCGACCTGTTCTTACGATTATCACACCTGTTGACCCCAGATGGTTTCTCGCAAAACTCATCCCGGAAGCAAAAGAAGACGACGTTTACAAGGTTCAACTTACCTCTTAAACACAAAAACGCCAGCAAAAGGAGGCTGCTGGAGGGACTACTTTTCCTGTGGCCATAATGTAATCACTCCATCACCGTCGTCGTCGTCGCTTCTATTGTTATCGTCGTTATAGTCGTCCTCGTCCTCATCGTCGCTGTCGCTACTATCGCTTTCGATAGTAGTAATCAAGTGCACAGGAAGTATAGCCGCGCAGACACAGGAAAATTAGGCGATCTCAGCAAAAGCCACAAGAACTCACTCAACTTGCCCCAAAAACCCACGACAACTTCATCCCCGAGACACCACCACTCCCATCCCCCTAAATCGCCGAAAAACCCACACCCAGCAACTCAATATTCTCAGCCCCTAAATCCACAAAAGGCTCAGCCCGTCTCACCATCTCTCCGTCCCTCCAACGTCCCTCCCTGCTGCCCACCCATCCACACACACAGAAAACCCAAAACATCATCATCCGAACTCCCTCCCCATGTCCACCCAACACCAGACGCTGCCATATCCCAGCGCCCTGTGTGTCGATGTTCCTCCCCCTTTCCAGAAAATTTCTGAACCCTGTGCCAATGCGCCTCCCGGCATGATCCTCTTCTCCCGGTTCTCCTGAGTTCATCCAGAAGCGAAAAAGAAGGAAACGGACAACGCCGGCGCCAAGCCAACGATACAATCATCATCATTCGCAAACTACTAAAAGTCTGGATGAGAAAGACACGTAACGGCGTGACACCCGAAAAAAGTTACGTGGCCGTTCATCTCAATGGCCACCAGACGGAGATCCTTTCTGTCAAAGGGGGTTCCCCATGGTTTGCATGTCCGGGACGAATCACGGACGTCCAACCAACTCCGGACGAAACACGCAACGGCCCGATGCAAGTTGTGAGACCGGACTAGCATCTCAGATGAGTATCGTCAGCAGCACGCCCCAAATTCAAGTCACAAATATACCACAATCGCAAAGTGAACATAAAAAAGAAGAGAGTCCTCCAAGACGCCTGTCCGAGACAGGGAATTATGGTATCTTGTATGTACAGGCTTCCTCTGAGCTCCTAGCCAGGCGTACACACCAATAAGTAGAAAAAACGTGTCCCTCTCTTGAACGCCCTTTTTCGCTATGAGGCCGGCCAAATGGTGCCGCAAGACGTGTCTTGGCCATCAAAATCACCTGGGCCATCATGCTATGCAAATGCAATTCGTGAAAACCATGCCTTATCCAACGCCGGTATCGAATGATGTGGTTCAGTCGCCGTTCCACTCCTCTTTTTGGGTCTCTCACATCACAATGCAGTCCTTGTCCTTCTCCTTGTCACCTGCGTTCTTCTTAATCTTGCCGTTCCGGGGCGGCGCGACCTCCATTGGCGTGCCCCCGCTGACGGCGGCTTGAATGATGGCGAGACGCTGCTTCGCACGTTCATCGCCAGTGTCGGCGGCTTTGACGTACCAAACGTTGGCCTCCAGGATGTCTCTCCTACAGCCAATGCCCATCTCTGTAAAGTAGCCCACGGCGTACTGAGCCTTGACGTAGCCTATTGGTCGCTTGTTAGCAATAATCTCAACGTGAACATTTGCATTTCTGGACCACTCACCAAGCTCTGCCGAACGACGCGCCCATTCGTATGCCTCCTCCTCGTCCTTCTCCAGAATCGGCTCGGCTCCGACCATATACCACGCACAAAGCCCCATCATGGCACCCGCATGGCCGCGTTCAGCAGCTCCCGTGTAGAAGTGAACGCTCAATGCCGGGTCCCGAGGACAGCTCAGCTTGCCGTGCTCGTATGCCTCGCCCATGCGAAAGTTGGCTTCCGGATGGCCCAGCTCTGCTGCGGCGGTGAACAACTCGGCGGCGTAGGTTTCGTCGCGGAAAATGTCGTCACCGTAGCCAGTCTCGTAGAGGCAACCCAATTGATACGGAGCAGCACTGTATACTGAATCCGCTGCCTCCGCGGCCAACTTCATCCATTTGATACCCTCCTTGTAGCGCTTCTCTCCCAAATCGCCCGAGAGACAGGCCTTTCCAAGGCGAGACATGGCACCAGGATGCCGCTTTGATGCCGACATGCGCAAGTACTGAACAGCCTTAGCCGGGTCTTTGCGGCAGCCCCATCCAAACTCGTAGCACAGCGCAGCGCGGTATGCAGACTCAGCGTGGCCGTGCTTGGCAGCCTGAACGAAGAGAGGGAAGGCCTGGTTATAGTCCTCCTTTCCTTTGCTAAAGAGACCGGAGGCATATCCATCTGCCACGTAGTATTGTGCGAAAGGATACCCGTTGCTAGCGAGCTTCGTCAGTATTCCCTTTGCCTCCTTCAACAGCTCGTGAGGCGAGTTCGGGCCATGCTGAGGGCTTGAATTGCCTTTGCGCGGGGCGGGCTCGCTCGCGTCAAGACCCTGTTCTTGAGCAGTGGAAATCAAGAAGACGGCAAAAGAGTATTGAATGGAGAAGTCATTCGTCTTCTTCACATTTTGGCGATACATCTCCAGCGTCTTCTGGGTGCCCAGAAGCGATGCATTGTTACCCACAGCGCTCTGGAGCTGATTGTTGTTCAGGTTGATGGGCGCGGGAGCTGGCTGCGGGTATGGCACGTTCAACAGCTCTGCGTATGAGACCGGTCTGTTTTCGGGCGACTTGCGGGTGCCAGACGGGGTCCTCATGTGGGATCCTCCGGGCATCAAATTGGGCGAACGTCCTCTAGGCGCATAGTCCGAAATCGCAGAGTAGGCAGACGAGGGCCGGGGCATCGAGGTTCTTCTCGTGAAGCCGGTGGGCGTCAAATGGCGGTTGACTGGTGTTCCGTCGGCGTTCAAGCTAGGGTTCGAGGACGAACGGCGAGCGTCCATCTCGTGAGGGACGCTAGCCACACGAGGAGGGTATTCCTGGTGGTGGTAGTACTGGAACATGGGAACCGACTGGTTTCCAGACATGTTGCCGTCCACAACCGAGCTCCCGGGAGAGTCATCCTCCTTGTAGTCGGACGACTCATTGTTGCCGGAGACTGAGCTCGCGCTCGTAGTCGCCGAAGATTCTGCCGACGCCTGTTGTAGATTTGTGCTCGTGGTCGTGTCCGACTCTCGGCTTTGACGGTTACCGTCTGGTGACCGCGGTATGCTGTAGCTGTCGGAATCCCGGGTCCCCCTTTTCGCGCGGTAAATCTGATCATTGCCGGGTCGAGAACTCGCCGGACTCAGGTATTCGGGCTCGGCAGTGTAGGCGGTAGCATTTGTCGTCGTGGTCGCGAGCGGTGGTAGTTGTTTCCCATCACGACTGTGCATTTGACGTGCAGAAGACTGGTCGTAGGCGGAGGAGTGGTTTGGAGGGGGAGGGGCATTTTGTGGTTGGTAGTGGTCTGCGGCAGGAAACTCTGCTTGGTAAGGTTGCGCCATCTCGATGTTCGCATTGGATGGCTGAGCCCAGTTGTCGTCCTGAAAGTTTACCCGTACTGGAGAAACGGGAGCGTCACGAATTCGGGCGGACCCCTTACGGCCGGCGTCATCGCCTATGGCGAGGCGCTCGGGAGACATGTGCGTTCGTAGATGATGGTTCGGGCTTGCGGTCGGAGAAATGACAGGCGTTGATGCCGTCGCGGCCGCCATTGGTCAGTTCTGTTGGAAGTCGTTGGCTAGGAGCTGAAGAAAACAAGTGAAAGGAGGAATTAGTTCAAGTTGAATACTATTTAGACATGGAGTGAAGATTTGGAGGACGGGCACTCTCGCGCATTGCTTGTGGTGCGTGGCATGCTTGACTTGTTATGTAAGTCGGAGACGGGGGGGAGCCTAGGAGACGAGGAGGAGGCAGCAGAGCGAGCAAGACGAGCGAGCAAGCAAGCAGCAAGACCGAGGAGGCAGCGAGCGAAGCAACAAGCCAGCCAGCCAGCCAGCCAGCCAGCCAGCAGTAAGGTACCTGAGCAGCAGCAGCAGCAAGCAAGCAGCCCTGAGGTACCTTGCTGCGTACTGCTTGCACGCAAGTCCACCCGTTCTCACCCACTCAACACACTCTACCCACCCACACCACGACTGGAATTGGCACCAGCACTGGCTCGCACAGGGCGCCGGGGCTCATTCGTACAGACGGGCAACAGGCCAGGGCCCTGTTCGGGTTGGATGGCGAATGGTGCCTTGCTAGGGGGTGCGCCTGCTTCTGTAGCGCAGAGGACGCAGAAGGACCAGAGGGACACTTGCGCCCAAGGGGGCTAGCCGGGGCTTGCCTTGAAAGAGGGAGGGCTGATTGACAAACCAGCCCGACCACTGACAAGGCAGGTACGGACACAGCTGCAGTGCGTGTGTGGTGCCGACGGTGTAAGGTCGTTCAGGTTTGAAGGGGGGAGGGAACACGAAGGGAACGGGAATACGGTAGCTTACCAGAGACGAGGGAGGCGACACGTACAACGGGCACCCCAGGGATCCTGCAAGCCCAAAGTGACGTCGCGAGCCACAAAGCCGAGTGTGGTCTTTTTTTTGTCTTTTTTTCTTCGGTGGTGCTGAGGTCAGGCAGGCGGCGACGACGGGAAGAGGTGAATCAGTGTCGGGAGTCGGGACGCAGCAGGCGTAAAACAAGCGACAGCTGACCGCGCGAGTGCCGGAATCGAGTCAATATTATAGACGAAAATCAGATGGCGCAGAAGGCTTGAATAATGAGTGAAGGTAGTTCAGATATCCGAAGTGAGCACCGGTCTGCACCAACTCGGACGGGGAAACTGCAAGACCTGACTTGAGTAAGAGTTGAGGATGGTGGTGGGATGGTTCCAGGCCAGGTTCAGAGCGGCCGGGAGTGCCGGCAGGGACATGTACTTTGTCGAAGGCAGTCCGGGAGAGGAGGCTCTTGGGCGAAGCACGTCAGGAGGAAGGAAGAAAGGTGCAAGGCAGACAACCTGTTACTTAAAAAATCCGAGGAAAGAAGAACTGAGCAGACGGGCCTAAGGCAAGGTACGGCACGCAGGAGCAAGTAATGTGTGGAGATGTGAGGCGAGCATTGACGTCGTGCCTTTCCCCGTGGGCCGAAGACGAAGATGAGATGGAATAAGGGCAAAGGGAAGGAAGAGCAAAGGAAAAAGAAACTAAATGTCGTGGAAAGAAGTAAGGCTACGAACGTATGTACGTTATGCAGTCAGCAACAGCAAAGCCAGGGCGTGCCAAGCCGATGGAGCAAGTCTATTCATACATGTATGTACTGTGCATGGAGCTGAAGTTGAAGCTGGAGACGAAATGGCAAGGTAGAGCCTTAGCTGACCAGGCCTGACGGGGGCTGAGGAGCAGCAGCAGCAGCTGTCATACCGCAGTGTTGGGAGGAAGGAGCAGCCTGCCCGGGAGATGAATCCGTGGCTTCGGGCACAATTACCTGGCACCAGGACAGAGGGCAGGCTGCTGCTTGTTGGGTCTCATCTCATCTCATCCTCATCCTGCGGTTGCTGTGCCTGGTGTAGGTGGTGTACACACAGCACAAAGCAGAGTGTGGTGTTTTGGTGCCTACCTAGGTACACAACACTCGCCGCACCTCATCTCCCCTCACCTCGCCCCAAATCACCCACCTCAGGGTGTAATTGGGGTGGCGTTCAATCTTGGTAGCGCTGCAAAGCGGATTTCACTGGCGTCGACTGGCTGCGAAGGAGCGTCTCAGACGGTCTGGTCCCCGTCTTCACACGAGGCTCCGGCCCGGGCTAGTGCCTGAGGGCAAGTGCCTCCAGTGTCAATGTCCAATGAGACTTGGCCCTTTGTGCACTCGCCTCTAGCAGCGAAAGTGTGCTCCGTCATGTCATGCCTCGTGGTGGTGGCCATCGTAACGGCGAAGGAGCCAGAGGAGGTTGGTGATGGGCGATCAGGTATCCGTACCTTGCCCAGGTGAGGAACGGACGTGGCCGCTTTCCTATTCCATTTGTCGTACCTTATTCGTACCTTGCCTCCTCCAGCAGGCCCCTCCAACCCAGCGATGCAACCTGCAACCTGCAACCTGCGAGCTGCCCCGTGTCCTACATGCAGTGCATCCACCGCCTGCTGCATACGCATATGGAATGGGATATGGAAAAGAGAAGCATGTCGAACTGAGGTCCATGCCCTTGCCTCCACGCACACTCGCCTGGCCTTTAGCCAGGACCCCGCCGCCGCCGCCGCCAGCACTTACCACTTACACGGCGGCGATGGGATAACAAGACCTCATTTCTGCATCTGCCATGACCTCTTGTCGGCCGTGTCAGCACACCAATGTCGCCAGAGCCTGAACGACACTATCGTCTGTACACAGACCTGAACGGAACTCCTGGCAACCCCGACATCGCCTCCGGCTCCAGGAACGTGGACGCGGGCGTTGGCGGTCAAGCTGGAGTCTGCCTGTGTCAAACCCTCACTGCAACGCAACGCAACGCAACCCCGCGACGCTGTCATGTCACCTTCGGGTCACCGCCTCTCCGGCAGCGCCAAACTGCAGACTACCTGACCTGCTTACAGATTTGCAGCACAGGACCAGGTGGAAATCAGACAGGTACCTACCTTACGTCAACTTCGTTCGTCAAAGGGGCGGAAAAACACTTCTGGATCTGATCTTAATAACCAAGTGCCCGCAACTAACAAGGCCAAACCTGGCAAGCTTCCCGTCGCCTGCAAAGAGATTGACGGCCTCGGCCCCAAGGCTCTTGGGACCCTTCAAGTCGCAACAAGCAATAGTGGGATCCATTTCATGGCATCCCTTTTTTCCTTCTCGCCAATCCTCTCAGCCTCCTCACGTCGTCTCCTCCGCCTTTTGGAGACAACGCGCGTTGAGGTGCTAATGAAGCAATAATATTGCCGTTTCACCTTGAGCGGAGGGGGTGCCCAGCCCTCGGCCTTCCATTCGCCTCATTCTTGTCTGCCCTTCCTCACCATCGCCCAGCCCCGAATTCGCACCGCCCTTTTCCTGGCCATCCTCTGGGATGCACAACGGCGCAAGCACGCAAACCCGGCCTGGCAAAGATCACTGATGTCTCCGAGATCCCTGTCATCACCTACCTGGCTGGACTCCGGGTCCTAATCCCGTTACCCTTCCCCGCCAAGGCCCTGTACGAAAGAGAGAGGAAAAAAGAGGGACTTAAGGGTAGCCCTCCACCCCCGACTGGCCTGCCGAAAGACGGATCCGACGTGGAGAAGGGCTGTGAGGTTCGAACCCACCGTGAGCAACTCATGCTAGCACCAACGCTACGCATGCTTCTGCAAGATCGAGGTGGCCCTGAGTTGGAATACGACCGGACTCTTTGCGCATCCCGCACTTCTCTTTGTGGTGAAGGAGGTTTTGCGCGATTCGTTTGCCTCACCGCATGAAACGATTTGGCACACTTAAGAAAGCTCGGTCAAGCCTTTTTATGTCATTCTTGATATACCTCAGGGGCATTAACACGAGTACGTCTGGTAACGTCTCATTGGAAGCCGGCAGCATGATATTTCCAATTTTGGGCGTCCCCAGCTTCACCGTCTCCGCCGTTCCATGAATATTCAAGTGGGTTCTAGTTCGACTCCAGCGGCGCTCCAGCGTGGGTCATGGAATGGACGAATTGGCAAGGGGTCGGGGGGGTTGAATTGGAGGCCGCGTTGGACGACCCTGCAGCCGCTATTGAAAGAGGAACCGAGAAGAGAGAGAGAGAGAGAGTGGGAAAAAAAAAAAACTACGAAGTACATGCCCGTCAAGCACGCAAGTGGCCGGCTCAGTTAAACCGAAAAGCCAGCGCGGCCTGTTGGAGCTTGAAAGCGCCGCCGGTTCCCCCGTCGCCGGGCAAGCCTCGTCCGAATCATTCGTCGCTGCTCGTCCCGATCACTTCGTATGGGCTTGGGCGGAGCAGAAGAACAGGAAGGCGACGAAGAAGCAGCGGGAGAAGGCGGCAGCGCGGGATTTCACGAGGAAAAGCGGGTGGTGCGGATTTTGCTCGTCATGTGAGGCATCATCCCATACGATTCTGTCGCTATTGCGAAGTCGTAATGTATGCATGCATGGGTGGGTATTGACTGGCCGGCCGTGCCCCTCGTACAGGCCACTCTCGATCAACACCGTCAATCCACTATTGTGCATTGCCAAGTCGACCGAGCCTAGCGCTCCCCACGCCTGCCTATGAATACAGAGCCCCTATTCTACGAATACGTACGGCTGACCTATTACCCAGGCCTCAAATCGAGCACCTTGGTGCCCGGTCAGAGTGCTGTGCAGGCCGGACCCGAGCACAAAGACTGGGGGTTGCTTGCTTGCTTGCGCTTGATGGAAATCCATTCCACTACGGTCCAGCTCCGAGAATTTGCAGATTCTCTGACATTGCGCCGCACGTCAGTCAGACCGGTGGTTTGGTCAGGAGTCGGCGGCGACGGCGTATTGCTGAGCATTCATCCAGCTCCCAGCTTTCATTGCGCGACTGCCCTCTGGGCTTCGGAGCCTTTCCACAGTCCCCAGCCCCGTCCGTGGGTCCAACGTTAAATGGCGTCGGCCACGGCGGTCATCGCGGATCTACAGCCACCAGCGTGCGACTGCAACATCACGGCTTCGGTGCACCCAATCACTGTCCGCTGTCGTGTTC